TTCCTGGATTATAGTAATATATCTAGTTAGTGATGAATATACTGGAAGTATTCACAATGTAATTTGATTTGTTGGTCACAAACACCAGTGTGCAGTTCTTCATTTGTTTTTGGGCAAGTTGACTTTTTCCGTTCCAAGTGGAATACCTGAAATGTATTTCTTTTTTTTTTCCCCAATGGTAGAAAAAATGTTGAAGCTTGTATCGAAAGTTCATACCCAAATCGAATTATAGAAAAGCAGACATAAATCCACCAGGGCCCATAATTTTATAGTTATCCCACAAAAAAGTAGGTGCCAGCAATCAATGACACACTTTTCTTCTATTACCTGTAATTTAGGAGATATTTCTTAATGTGTTTTTAGGAATGCCTTTAATGATGTAAATAATTAAAAATTTTAATTTGACCAAACTAGAACACTTTCTTGGAAAAAAATCTAGATCTAGGAAAAAAAAATTTAAGATACTTCTTTATTTATCTTAGCAAAAGAGACGACAAGAGATTGAACAAAAACTTGAAGTGCAGGCAGAGGAAGAAAGAAAGCAAGTTGAAAACGAAAGGCGAGAACTGTTTGAAGAAAGGCGTGCTAAACAGACAGAGCTGCGGTTATTGGAGCAAAAGGTTGAGCTTGCTCAGTTGGTGAGTTTTAGTTTTGCTCTTGATCTCTCCCATGTTTAAACTATTCTTGTATATCTGAGGGTTATTTTCTTTAATTTCTCAGCAAGAAGAATGGAATGAACATAATGCTAAAATAATTAAATACATAAGAACAAAGACAAAACCCCACTTATTCTACATACCTGGCAGAATGTGTCCTGCTACGCAGAAGTTGATGGAAGAGTCACAGAAAAAGATGAATGGTAAGTGGTCTTTGTGATACAAAGGCCCTTGTTCTTGGCTCCCTCTGCTTGCTGTACAAATCTCTTTAAGTCTCTCTGATTAAATACGTGAATTTCATGGTTAGGACAAACTGTATGTTCTTGCATGGGTGTTCATCATAAGTGAACATTACTCTTTCAGTGACTTATTTTTATGTTGGATGTGTTTTGATTCTCTTACAAGAAGTCAAAAGAGGTGTATGCATAATCTCAGAGGTATGTGTTTAAAACATAGTCCTTTCTATTAGCTTTAGTACCCAGAGGTATGCCAGTGCAGCAACTTAGTTTTTGAACAAGCAGTTTCTATGGATTGAAGAGATAAGGAAATGCAGGTTTTTACAAAGGATTTGAGAAGCGTTTTCTTAAGCACAGCACTAGAACTTTATGATGATTTTTTTTTTACCTTAATGTGTGTTCATTTCTGTTTCACAGGCTGACTATATTTTTCTTTTGGAAAACAATTTAAAATATGCGGTTGATGGTAGTCCTACTGTTATTTTTTTTATTAAACAGAGAATGTGTTGGGTTTTTTTTTCTTAAGGAGCTTTTTCTTCGTTGTATGGGGTTGGGGGATAAGAGAAGCTAGCTCACCTGTCTGAAGAGCTTACATTATTTAAGCTTTCTTAATATCTAACCAGCTTTTTGCTGATTCTTACTGTCTTTTGTTTACCTTAGGAAGTATAACCTTATTAATATATAAATACCAGGAAATTAAGGTATTATTTTGATACACTGTTGCTTGGATTGATTTTAATGAAGTCAAAAACTCTCTTTGTTAGCTTAGATTTAGGGCTTTACTGTTCTGATACTCAGCTGAGCTGACTATCCCCTTTGCTTTGTTTTCTTAAGGTAACTAGCAGTCTTTTTCATTATGCATGAATGGCTTGCTACTTCAGAATGAATAAGGATGCAGTATTTATAAATTAAAACGATTTAATAACTTATTAGCTCATAGTTAAGGGGAAAATAGACTTCAGTGTCTGTGGATTATCTGAAACTATTATTTATGCATTTATTCCCTAGCACTCTTTGAAAGCAGGCGAAATGAATTTGCAGAGCAGATTAACAAAATGGAGGCCAGGCCCAGAAGACAATCCATGAAGGAAAAAGAACAGCAGGAGGTGCAGAATGAAGAAAAGAAGGAAGAACAGAACAAGGAGCAGGAAGAGGGTAAGGTGGCTCAGCAGGTGGAAGAGTTGGAGACAGGTAATCAGCACAATGATGTAGAAATGGAAGAGGTAGGGGAGGAAAAGGGAAAAGCAGGTTCAGGGCATAGCGATGCAGAGAAAGAACAGGAAGAGGATGAACAGAAACATGAAATGGAGATTAAAGTAGAAGATTCTACTGAGGTGAGGGAGAATGACAAGCAACAGGATGGTCAGCATGAAGAGGTCACAGTTGTAAAAGAGGAAGGTGAAAACATTCAGCCAGTGGATAATGAGCAGGATGTGGCTGAAATAAATGAGACAGATAGTGTAGAACCTGTAGAAAATGAAAATGGCAAAGAAGTGGAACCAGAAACAGAATGTGATGCTCAGACAGAAAAAGTGTGTAGTGTTTCGTCTCCTGAGAAGGAGAAAGGTATCAAACCAGAAATTGAAGCTGAACCTGAAGAAAAACAGGAGAAGGCACCTGAAGCTCAGCCAGAACATATGGCTGAGGCTGTATCTCAGCCGCAGTCTGTGCCACTGCCACAGTCACCTCAGTTGTCTCAGTCCACTCAGGATACAGAGCCCCAGGCAGACAAGGATGAAAATGCTGCGGTGTCTGTAAAGGTGGTTGAGGCACAGACAGAGCAGAGTCAGACACAGAGTGTAGAGATTAAGAATAAGACTAGGAGTAGAAGCAGGGGTAGGGCAGGGAACAAAACTGGTAAGAGTCATAGCCGTAGTAGCAGCAGCAGTAGTAGCAGTAGTACTTCGAGCAGTACTAGTAGTGGAAGTAGTTCCAGCACTGGCAGCAGTAGCAGTCGAAGTACTTCCACCAGCAGCAGCACTACAAGTGGAACCACTAGCAGGGACAGTAGCAGCAGTAGCTCTAGCAGTAGTGAAAGTAGAAGTCGAAGCCGAGGAAGAGGGCATAACAGAGATAGGAAACGCAGAAGGAGCACGGACAGGAAGCGAAGGGATGCTTCAGGAGTAGATAGAAGTCACAAGTCCTCAAAAGGTGGGAGTAGAGATACCAAAAGCTCAAAGGATAAAAGTTCAAGATCTGACAGAAAGAGGTCTATATCAGAAAGTAGTCGGTCAGGCAAGAGAACTTCACGGAGTGAAAGAGACCGTAAATCAGACAGGAAAGACAAAAGGCGTTAACAGAAGAGACCAAGCTTCTTTAGCCTAACCTTTGCAGCAGAAGATTATTTGAGTGAAAGGATTCCTTGTAAGGAGGAGGAGAAGGCTGCCTTAAGAATTGCATGCTGTAAAAAATCTTTTTGGAAAAATGCAGACTGTTTACCAGGCATTCTTGTACTTTTTACATAATTTTGTAAAAGGTTACTTACCAAAACTATGTGAAGTTCCTGAAAATGTAAAAATAAAAGATTAACACTCCTTTGCATCTTTTTTTAAATATCCTGTACTCATTAAGATCCTCTGTATATTTTAATAGGTAAACCTTTAAGTAGGTGTGATCACTTCTTCTGTATCATACACCTTTTTTTTTTTGTAGAAATAAATGTGCGTTTCAAATAAATTGCTTGAGATGTCCCATTGACAATTAAATTTCCCTTTTAGATCATATGTAGGGAGGCAATGTTGAGGGAAACGTAAAATTTTGCTTTTCCCCTCTATTCCTTGCAGGAATGGGAATTTTAAGACCCAGTAAAGGGAGTAATCTCTCCAGTGCTGGGTAGGAAGGGAAAGTAATTGATTTGGATCTATACCTTTTTGTTTTCTTCTGTAATCACAAGCTCTTAGTCAATTCTATCTTCCAGTTTTATAAAACTTTCTCCTATCCATAGGCAAGTAGTGATTAAATGGGAATGTTAACACTGGCCAAGATAGTTCAAGCCGGTCTGGAATACCACTCTTATCTGCCTTCTGCAGGTGCTTTGGTAGCATTTACATCTGTGTTCTGGAGACAGTTAATCTGTTTAATGATGTTCCTTGCTTTGATGGCCAGTGGAGGAAAGACTTCAGCTTGCTTCTCAACCAGGATTCTTTTTATTTTAGTTGCAGACTAATCTTTGATCCCTTCGTACCACTAGGAATAATTACATTGCAGTGTTGGAATTACTTGGGACTACCTAATACTAATGTTGTGTGTGTGCCAGAATGCTTTCTGAATGTATTTAATACAACTCAAAAGTGGTATGGTGTTATCTATGAAGGTGAATACTGTTTTTATATAATTTTGTATGGAAAACTATAACATCTGTTGCTTTGTTCTGTACATGTGCAAATAAATGTGGCTTTGTAGACTACTCTCGATGCCTATGATGTTTTCTGTAACACAGGAGTACTACTGTAGTCCTTCTACATTTAAAGCATGAATCGTAATTGCAGGTGACTGTACTTTAGAAGCTCTGTATCTAAAATTGTTCTTATAGGCTTTAGTTAATGCCTATTAACTGAATGTGAAACACTGCTATAATCTGTATTATCTTGGCAGGAAGAGAATTCTTATATCTCATGGGCCAAATTGCAGACCAGGAAGTCCTAGAAAGATTTCATAATGGAAATTGCATGTAAGCTTACTCTAGTGTACAAAATGACATATATACCCCATTTTTCTGGAGCATAGAACAGACTTTTGCACAGTTCTAGTTTGGGAGGCTGTCAATTTTTGGATTTTTCATCTGAACTCAGAGTAGTAACAAGACTTATGTGTTCTGAAGTGCTGAACTTCCTGGCTTAAAGAAATGTGACTAGCAAGGGATGAAGTGGAGTGTTCTTTCAGCACGAATGGACACAGTGGAAAAGCTCCTCAGGCTTCCACCTTCTCACGTTCAATGCTTTATTCTGATTCTTCAGTCCATTTGCTACTTCAATTTCCTATCTACCTCTGCTTCTCTACAACTGAGCATCATTTTTAGGTCTTCTCAGTGGTCTCCAACTGTACCTTCTTTTTTTGAAGGGCAAGCAGAAGTTCAAATGCCTTATTGAAGATGTTAAACACAACAGTTTACCACAAGGAACAAACTTTTATACTGCATAGTTCAGTAAATGTTACTGGTTTGCATGTTTCAACTAATTTCACATTTCAAATTGCCTTTGGAAGCCATTTTAATTTTGTCAATTACATATTTTTTCCTAACATTGAGTATTTTTAAGGTTTCTTATTTTGAGCTTGAGTGATTCCCTGCTGTAGTGTATTTATTGTACAGGTTTTAATGGCTGATACTGTAGCCATTATGCAAAGCAAGAGAAGTAGGTTGCTAGTCAGAAGCCACTGTTGTGGGTCCTGGTAATTGAACTAGGGATTGGATTGATTACATTGTTCCAGGTTATTACAGACAGCAATGCATTTTTGACAAGGTGAAAATACAGGAGTTTTGTTGCTGAATACAAAGCTGGTGATGTATTTGATAGTTTAATGTTTGTCAGCAGAAACTTGGCACCATGGTTAAACTGTGCTGTTAATTAAGTTAGCCTTGCTAAATCTAAGCAGCTCAATGCAACATAAACATCAGCCTGTAATAACTTTGTAAGAATGAAGTTTTCTAAAAGTCAGGTATTCCAAGCAATATTATGTCACAGAGAGTATAAGATAGTAGTATACCATTAGCACAATATTACATCAAGACCTGTGTCTTTATAAAGCAGTAGTGGTTTTAGTAATTGTTACATTTGCCCTCAAGGTCCCATCCTCTCTCTCTGAAACAGTTTTAGAGCTGTGGATATGGCTGAGACCATGGGTGCAATTTTCTTCCTCTGTTGCCAGTCTACAGTTTCAAATACTTGCCAGTTTCAAGACTGAATTTGATGCAACAGTTGGGAGTTTCTGAGAATTAAGTGCAGATGGCATAGGGGTAGGAAATTATTAAAATATTTTCTTATTTCTCTTCTCCATAGTGGCAAGTAGAGATCAAAGGAAAAATACCTTGTTCTCTTTTCATTCAAGTAATGTGGAAAAAGGGACAATTGGAAAGGGGAAAAACTAAGAAAGAAGTTGAGATGCTTTACATGAGTGGGCAACATACCATGTATGCTCTATGCCTGTCTCGTGGAGTGCTTCCATCAGATGGTCCCTTCCATTTTTAAGTATAAATTTAGAAGGCCTTTTTTTTTTTTAAAAGAGCTTTTATACGATGCACTGACTCTGTACTGTTTACATGTTGTCTTTTTCTTCAGTCCTTGATGCACAGATAAACCGGAAGCCTCCAAGAATGTGTTTTTTTTCCATGATGTTCCACTTGGAGTCCTTGTCAGAGTAGAAGTTATGCAGATGATTCATTAATTATAAGCTAAAGCATGACTTTGCATAAGAGGTGCAGCTCTTTCAAATTCCTCCTTCTTTCCTTAAGCAGATGTCTCTGTGCTTACAACAGCTTCATTGCATGTATTCAAAGGAAACATGAAAATAATTTTTTTGCATAAAGTAGGTATTAGTGAACTAAACACCTCTCTCCAGCAGAATTAATTTCCAAAACAAGTAAATTTGCAAATAAATTTCTAAAGCATCTTTTTTTTGTTAGGAAAGTAATGGTCTTGTGGTTAGGTCCCAGCTATAATTTTGAGATTCAGTTTCAGCTGCTGATTCTGTAGCAATTGCTGTGGTACAACAGGACAAACCTATTCATTTTATGTATGTCCCAGATCTTCAAAATTAGTTTCCCTACTCAAAGAGGGATTTCTTTGAGATTACATGTATTTATGATGGGTTCAAATGCTGTGCCAGTGGTGTATGAGTAATATACAGAGATTTGTGTTTTGGAGGATATAATTTTGTTCTTTCAGCCTTTTTTTTTTCCCCTCATCTCAATTTTCTAGAAAACCTGTGCTTCATCACAAACCCGGTTCAGGCAGTTGTTACTAGGCGACAGTGTTCTATTATATGGCAAAATGTGAGGCATTCAAAGCTTGGAAACCTATTATCAAGATTCAAAGTAATATAAGTCACAAGTTCCATGATTTTCTAGAAATGCACTCTTAGTTGTCATGCTTGTAACTGTTTTTGTAGTAGGGAAGCAATAATGGCTTTTTTTCTTGCCATTTGTTATCTTGGCTGAAAAAGGTGGTTTAAATCTACATGATGAAGGACTGTTACCTGTTTAGACTTACCTAACTGGAAGCCTGAATTGGTGTTCTTTTTTCCCCTTAGGTTTATTAATTTTTAAAAGATACTTGTTTAAAAAAAATCTTTTTGGCACAACATTTCATTCAATGTAAAAGTTGATCTGTGTTTTCATCCAAACATCCTAAGTCAAGGGAACTATATTTTTAAAGTGCTTTTTCCATGGACTATATTCTCCCATGTATTAGTGCAATATTCTACACAGTGAAACCCTACATTATGCCATATGGAGCTTTTCGGTGCTATCATACAAATATAACCATATATACTGTTGTTATTGTAAAAGTCAACACCTATTTATGTACTTAGGAGAACTTTTACCAATTTATGATTTGCTTTGGGATATTTATTGTTAATGCAGATACTGCATAGTCTAGGAAATGCAACATCTCTTCTACTTACACAAAGCCACATCTTAAAAAAGCCATCAGTGTGCCATACCACTTGGTTTATTTAAATTACACCATTAATTCTGAGTTAATCCTTCTGTGAATTTTAAAATATCATAAGGGATCTCTGCATTCCTAGCTCGGTAGTTAAAGTTACGAAGATGTCACTGCAAATAAATTAATAGTTTCATCCTAACGAAAGCTGTTGGAAATAGATCTTACTTTTCCATTAGCATTGTTTGTCTTAGCACGTATAATAGTACTCACATTTGTTGCTTCAGTTCTGCAGAACAGAAATAAACGGAAGTCTCACTCTCTGCTATAAAGCTTTCAACTTTGTCCTTTGGAAGCCAGTTATGATAAACTCCACGAATCTTTGAATTCTGTTCAAAGGTGATTAGACGCTATGCTTGTATAAGATCTGCAAGTATAGGATTTACACCGAGAAGAAAATAGTATTTGATGTAAATATGATTTATTATTGATGTTACTAGAGGAAAAAAATCAGAGATCACAGCAGTGCTCATCAGCCTTTTAACAGCTTCAACCCTAGAAGAATGATTGTTGAGACTAAGATACACAATGAACAGTGCCTAGAATAACTTGAAAATTGCAGATTTAGATTAAACTGAATAGCTAAGATGAGCTGCTACATTTTCTCTCCATATAAAGACTTGAGAATTAGTTTGTGTATCCATATGAAACAAGTAATTTTCAGGGCTATTTTGATAAATACGGTAATAATGTGCAGATCTCAAGGTGTGGTTCTGATAGTTTGTCCTCCCACACAAACTTGCTGAAGTACATAATCTTAGGTGTCAGAAAACCTGGCTTTTCCCTTTTTAGGTGAATCAGCTCCATGTTGCCAGGCTCAGAAGGGACTGTTAGTCCTTCTAGGTCCATTATTGGCTTTTGTCCCATGTTCCATTGTTGGTATGCAACATTATGAAAGACACTTTTGACCAGTTGTTAATCTTGGTGGGATAAAAATTTTGTCCTTTTTTTTATTTTTTTTTGCACAATACTTGGTATGTGTAGAGAATCCCTCCAATATAAATTTCTTGTATAGTCCTCCTCATGTGTAGAGACCTGGGGAAAAAAAAAAAAAAGCCTGTCCTACTTTTCAGCTTATCAGGTTTCTTTGCATTTGTCATGTTTTAACTGCTTGGTATTCCATTTCTCCCCCTTCACCTCCTACAGATATACCTAGAGGACCCCAGGGAAGGTTCCCAATCACTGACCTTCTAAGCAACACGAGATCCAAGGGGAGTGAAGGGGAGAGAATGTTGATGCTGGGGATGGGTCAGCATCAAAGCTAGTCAGGAGCACGTGGTGAGGGGCTGATCTGTAGTGTATTTTCCCTGGTGTGTAAGACAGGTCTCCGGTGGATTACCTAAGAGCAGAGGCAGCTGGTGTACTAGGTCATAGGATAAGCCTGCCTGACTACCAGGTCATGTGGCAAAGGAAGGGGCCAAAGCGTTAGATTGCAACTGGAGGACATGTAATGTACTGTGATTTTTTTGTTTGTTTGTTTGCAGGAAATTGCTGGTTAACGTGACCCTGGCTCACTTTGTGCCCTCTCTCCCAGCCTCCAGTAGATGATTTGTCTGGTGGTTCAGTAGATCAGGCGAAGCACCAGTGTCTCGCAGGTTTGGGTTGTGGAGCAGGAGGGATGAGAACTATGCTGCTGGTAGGACACAGCTTAGGTTCATGGAAAGAGAAAGCAGAGCGAATTCTGTGTGAGTCATGCTCAGGACTGAAGAAGGGGCAGGCCTCCTAGGAAGCATATGACTGCAAATA